GGGTGTGGGGTGCGCGGTGCGGGGCTGGGTGTGGAGGCGGGAGGAGGCTGGGGCAGCGTGAGGGGGACGATTCGGGGGTGCAGCGTCGCGGCACCGTGCTTGGGTAGGCGCAGCTGCGTAGCTGAGACGTGTGGATATCAACGCAGTCGCAAGCGCACGCAGCCGCTTTCGCGGCAAGCGGTGTTGGCGCAGGGGCGTGCGGCGGCGGCGAGCAGCACAGCGGCGCCGGTGAGCGGCGGCAGCAGCGAAACGGCAGATGCAATAGACGGGTCCTTACCTCAAAGCTCAGCTTGCGGTGGTCATATGGCTGCCTCCCGTCAATCCTGACGTCTTCTTTGATCGCCTGCGACGCCGAGAGGCTCGAGGCTGAGCCCACACACCACCTGAAGTGCGCTGCTCCCACAACACAAGCCACACCTGCTTGATAAAGTCCCTATTATTGTTGCACAGCGTGCCTCCGCGCTCCATCGTCACCAGGGTGATCTTGCCAGCCTATCGCACTATGTAGCCTGACATGCAGTGTAAATGCTGTGTAGGATCCAGGTGATCACAGAGTGTGTGTTGCAGGAAGCAGATCTGCGTTTGTTTGCACCGCAGGCGCTGTGCATACTGTACAGTCACCGGTCAGCGTGCGACGGTCAGGGCAAGCGCCCAGCGCGGTACCAGCATAGCTTGTACCTTCACTTGACCAAACTCATGAAAGGATTTTTGATTGATCTAATGTGAATACACAGGCGGAGAAGCAAGCCGGCAGCTCGCAGCCACTGCGAGACCGCTGCCGCGAGATGGGGAGTGCCTGGTGACCCCCGCATACCTGATTGCTATCATGCCCAGTCCATACTTAACATGTCTCTGCAGATGACCAATGCTATTGCGATGGTTTTACGCCCAACTCGTCTTGCATTTGTTCCATCGCTCTGACTTGGCGCGGGGTCAGCTTTATATAGCGCTGCAAAATGGAGTACGAGATAGCTTTAGGAAACCTCGGGACATCGGCTCTCGTTTTAGCAAGCACGCTAGGCAGCTGCGCCCTGCCTGCTGCAGATGCTGCCGCGGCCCTCGCATATGCCATCGCCGTCGCAGGCTCCTGGCTCCGTGCGCACCCCGCGGCCGCCGCCGCGCTGCTGCTCGCAGCGATCGCCCTCGTCATCTACAGCCCGCCCGCCCCCCTCCTGCGCGCGGCGCAGCGCGCCACCGGCGTCACGTTCGACTTTGCGCCGCAACCGCCGCGCCGACGCCGCCAATCGCCGCACAGGAGCGGTGCCGCCGCCGCTGCCGCGGCCGCGCCGCCGCGGCGCCGAAAGTTCTTGGCACTCACGATTGACGACGGCCCCAGCTCGGAGGTCACCCCCCAGATAATGCAGCAGCTCGAGAAGCACGGCGCGCACGCGACCCACTTCATCGTCGGCGCCCACGTTGATGCCGTGGACGCGGCGGGCGCCGCGCGGGGCCGCCCCGGCGCGGGGCGGGCGGCGCTGAGGCGGATGCTGCTGGCCGGCCACGAGTTGGGCAACCATACATGGTGGGCTGGGGGCAGGAGCGGGCGTCTTGTTTTGCGGCCGCGGCCGTGGGGGTTCGGGGTTCGGCTTGGCCTTTGTGCACCCATGTGCGGCCGCACATCGTCGGCCGCGTTGTTCTCAGGACTCACATTGGTCGATCCCTGAAATCTGTCCGTTGGGGGTTTGTCATGACGGAGGTGCCCCTGCCGCCGCACCCAATTCTGTTGCACAGGCCCACCCCTTGAAGAGTCAGGTGTGCGTTTTGCACTATTCGTTGCAGCACAGCCACATGCTCACTTTTCTTGCCGCCCCCGTCCCCACCCCTTCGACTTCTCAGGTACGACCGCCCCACAATCAAGCTGGCCCCAGACCAGCTCAAAAAGGAGATCTCACAGGTCGCCGCTCTCATCCGCGCCGCCGAGGCCGACGCCGCCGCCACTGCCGCGAGCGCCCATGGCGCCGACGCCGCAGCCCCCAAGGCTGCCGCCGCCGCGGCGGCGCCGCAACTGCGATGGTTCCGGCCCGGCTGCGGCTGGTTCGACGCCGCCGTCCTCGCGGAAGCCGAACAGGCGGGCTGCACCACTGTCCTGGGGACGGTCTTCCCCTATGACACGCACTCCAAGGTCCCCGTCATCAACGCGCTGTACTGCTGGCTCAAGGCGTACTGCGGGGCCATCATCGTGCTGCACGACGGCAACACGTGGGTTGCCGTGGCACACGGCTCCCGCGCCGGCCGCTCGCACGTCGCCTGAATTTCAGTGTCTACCTGTATACTTTTGTTTCACGCGTCAGCAGCCAAGTTGAATCTGAGTCTCAAAGTTGCGACGCAACGCAGCACTTGCATGCACACGCACCCGGCGCTCATTATCAGCTCAACCGCACCCCAGGACAGACGCCCCCTGCCCTTCTCCGCCCACGCGCGCGTGCACAACGCACAGGCGCCCGCACACGCCCCGGACGCTCGCGCTGCTGCTGCCGCTGCTGGCCTGGTCGGGGTATGAGGTGCTCACGCTCTCAGAGGCGGCTGCGGCCGCAGGCATCTCCGGCGGCGGCGGCGGGCCTGCAAGCGGCTCGCACGCGAGCAGCAGCACAGGCGGCGGCGGCGGCGGTGGGGATGCGCGGGCTGGCGGCTGTGTGGCGGGCGGCGGCGACGGCGGCGCTGCTGCGGCGGTAGTGCAGGAGACAGGACAGCTGCGGGGTTCGAAGGGCGCCGCACTGGCTGCAGGGCAATCGGCGGCGGCGCTGGGGGCGGCGGCGGGGCTGTCTGAGGGCGGGGCTGCCGCCCGCGCAGCCGATGCTGCCTGGGACCAGGTGGGGCCGCTGCAAACGCTGCCCACACAACGGTTGCGGGCTCCACACGCGATTTGAGCCCCTCCCACCCAAAGGTGACGGTTTTCTGGGCGGCTCCTGCTCTCGCTGCTTTTCAGCGCCGCATCGGGTCTCTCCATCGCAATGCATGCGCTCGACACGCCTTGGACCATATCAGAGGGGCGACCACTGTCCCCTCAACACCCAATTCTTCTCGGCACTCAGGTGTCACAGGAGCCCGCCCAGCACCTGTCAACGAGCACAATTGAATTCGAGGGCACCAGCAAAGGCAGCCGGACGCCGCGCGCCGATACGCAGGCAGCCGCCCCCGCCTCCGCCGAGGTCCGCCTCGCTGCGCCCTGCCCCGCCGCGCCGCACATGGCCCTTCGGCGCGCGCCGCCCCCTCTACCCCCTTGCGCCGCCCTGCGCCCTCGCGCCCTTGCGGGCGCCGGCGCGGCGGCCAGGGGCGCGGGCCGCCTGCGCCTCTGCTGAGCGGCCCGGCGGGCTGTGCTCCCTCTGTGATTCCCATGCGCCAGCCGCTGCCGGCAGCCGGGTCCCTGGTCTACGCCAGACCTACCTCGCTCCACAGCTGCTTGGCACGACCGGCGCCGCCGGCGCCGCCGCGCGCTGTGTAATCCCCAGGGGCCGGCGGGCGAATGAGGTGGAGCGGGTGGGCGCAGGGCTGCGGCAAAGCGATGAGGGGCGCACTGACGAGGCGGATGGCCCCCAATCAGGAGCAGGGGGAGGAATCGGCGGGGGCGAACAGTATCAGGTGCGCAGCTGGGTATGAAAGGGGCCCACCGACCACAGGTGGTCAGGCGCGGGGCGCCTGTGCCGCGGGCTCGACACGCTGTGCTGTAATGGGACGGGCAGCATGCGGCACCAAGGTCGTGGGGGCGCCGGCCGCTGGGCTGGGTGTGTTTCTCTCTCTGACTCTCCCTTGTCTTGCGGTGTTATGTGCAAGCCGCGCAGCAGCCTATCTGTGACGCGTCGCCCGTCTCTGACTGGCGACCCCCCCTAGCCGCAGCGCCCAGGCTGCGGCATTGCGCGGCTGGGGGAGACGCGCGGCAACGCGGGCATCTACTGCGGGGAGCGCGGCGGCATCGCTACACACAACTGGCGAACTGGAGGGGCCCGGATCGCCGTCGCGGGTGCGTGCTGTAAACATTGTTTCTATGTTTGCATGAATCGGGGCGGCGTCCAACACATTGCTGACTGCCCTACATGCTGCGCCCCCAGTGGACTTTTTAGTGATAGACGTCATCCCCTGCCCAGCCTTGGGCCGGCGCAGCCGCTCGTCGCAGCGGGGCCGCACTGTCGGGCCGAGCCCCACCGCACCACGTCGCCACGAGCCTGCGAACCCGAAGGTCGGCTGATCGGCTATATCGGCGCGCCGCAACCGCCTCAAAGCCAGCTGACGCCCGCGCAAGGCACGAATGAGTGGTTTCCCACGCCTTCTCAAACAGCTGGATTCCCGGGGCGGGCGATGTCAAATGCTGCAGTGCTGAGTCACGCTCAAGAAGTTCAGTGCAGCGGGTGACCCTGTGGTCAATCTCACGGAAGCCAGGCTGATCGATGGTTTGGCTCTCTTTCACAACCAATCAAAAATGATTCATTGTCTACTTTGCTCGTCTGCCGTGTGCTCTGCCCACTGGCAACGAAAGCAACCTCGTGCAGCCTTGTGTCGTGGTGAATTTCCTCGAAAAGAGCTGATGAACCTCAATGCTGACTGCAATAATATTGGAGCAAGGCTTTTCATCATCCACTCAACGCCTTGATATCGCAGTCGCAAACTGTGGGTTCCGTAGCTCGATTCGCCTGACCGTGGCTCCCCGCATCGGCAAATGTGACCTGTCCCCTTTCAAATAGAATCATCAAAAGCTGGTTCTCTAGGGTTCACCTCAAGCGAACGTCCAGAGGTCTGAACGGCACCGTTGCCACATTTATGAAGTGACGGTCACCGAACCTTCATCGAGTGAAACCTTCAAAAATCCAAGCATAAGCATCTCATTACATAAAATGCGGTGAGACGCCTTGTCTTGGTCTTGTGCCGCGACTTGCCAAAGCGTAACCCGACCACAGCAGGGATGTGGCCTTGTCCAGCACATACACCTGATGTGGCCTTCTCCAGCACATACACCTGCCTGATGCCATGGACACCACCTGCACGTGAGCTGCTGATCCACTGCACACGGACTGCACCCACACAGGCCGCCATGCAGCCGCATGGCAGCCGCCCTTTTTGCGTTGACCGCCGTTGTTGTGGTGCTGGGCTTGGCGACGCCAGCCGGCGCTGCGCGCGGACTGCAGGCAAAAGCTCCCAAGGAATTGATCAAGAAATATGGGTTCCCCCAGAAGCTTTACTTAGACCAGCTGCCGGGCGCCGCGATTCTCAATCCTAAGGGCGAGGTGCCTGCAATTTCGATCACGCTGGTTCCAGCGCGCTTCACGGTAAGAGGAGAGGGCCGCCTGCATGCTGTGCCATGGTGGGCGGCACAGACCATGGCATGCTGGTCACGAGAGCAGGCAGCCCAGCTCTTGTTGCAGTTGCTCTGTACAAGGACTGTGTTTTGCTTGCAGCGTCTCTGAGGGTCGTTGGTGCACACGCACCTCGAGTGGGCTCTGTAGTGTTTGTCATGTGACACTCTGCTGGCTGATCCAATCAGCAAGTTGCTACTGCCTTCTGCTTCGCCCTCTCCCAAACCAGGGACCCACCAACGGGCCCAAGCTCTTCACCTACACAGGCATGGCGTATGTCGACGACAGCACAGGCATCACGGGGGTGAGAGGGCTGGGCTCATGGGCCTGCGTACGTGTGCGCGCAGCTTGCATGCTGCCTGATTCGTCGACCGGGCCGCGGCTGAGAGTGTGCTTGGTACACAATGCCCACATCATAGCCAGCCACTATAACACGATTTCCTTAGTGCCTTGTAATTCTGACCACTCCTGCGTGTGCAGATGTTCGGCCCCACCATGCGTGTCAAGCGTGGCAGCCCTTACATGTAAGCTGCAGCGGTAGCAGATAGCCAGCATCATGCTTCTCTCTTTCCCCTCTGCTGCGCATGCCGCTTTGGGCTGCTGAACAGTTGCAGATGCTCAACCTGCCATAGAGCTTCATCAACCCTCTCCTATTTGACGCAGCATCAAGCTGACCAACACGCTCGTGCAACCCACACAGCACGAGGAGTGAGTGTTTTGGGGGTTGCACGCACTTGTCGACCAGTTCAGGGGCAGAGTAGCTGCAAGCGCATGAACAAAACACAGCACAATGTCTATTAGCTACATGGCTGGCCGCATTGGCTGTGCTTGAATGCATGTGGCGACCTCACTCAGAGTCTTCCCTTTGCCTTGCCTGCAGGGTGAACTGGATCCACAACTATGGCAACACCAACATGCACACACACGGCATTCACGCCGAGCTTGGTAAGGCATTCAGCCGTCTGTATGGGACCTGATGTGTGTAAAACAAATGCTCTACGGTGTGGGGGCGGCGCAGCGGCCTCGGCCCCCGCAAGCCAGCCCCCTCTTCCTTATTTACGCGGGCTTCACAGCCTGCGTAGTCTCTCTCTCTCTCTCTCTCTCTCTCTCTCTCTCTCTCTCTCTCTCT